TCGCTCCCCTCAGCTGGAGCTCACCCTGACACCTCTTCCGTGGCCTCTGATCCTTCAGTATCTCCAAGAAATCACAGGAAAAAAGGATAACCTCCAAAAAGAGGTGTCTGGTAGGCACAGAGATCTCTTCAGAAAGATTAATTTTTTTTTCCTGTTGTGCAGCTCCAAGCCAACGTCGCTCCCCTCAGCCGGAGCTCACCCCAAAACCTCCTCCGTGGCCTCTGCTGATCCTTCAGGGTCTCCAAGAAAACAGGAAAGGGATAACCTCCAAAAAGAGGTGTCTGGTAGGCACAGAGATCTCTTCAGAAAGATTAATTTTTTTTTTTTTTCCAGTTGTGCCGGCTCCAAGCCAACCTCACTCCCCTCAGCCGGAGCTCACCCCAAAATCTCCTCCGTGGCCTCCGCTGATACTTCAGGATCTCCAAGAAATCACAGGAAAAAGGGATGATCTCCAAAAAGAGGTGTCTGGTAGGCACAGAGATCTCTTCAGAAAGATTAATTTTTTTTCTTCCAGCTGTGCCGGCTCCAAGCCAACCTCGCTCCCCTCAGCTGGAGCTCACCCCAAATCCTCCTCAGTGGCTTCTGATCCTTCAGGATCTCCAAGAAATCACAGGAAAGGGATAACCTCCAAAAAGAGGTGTTTGGTAGGCACAGAGATCTTTTCAGAAAGATTATTTTTTTTTCCAGTTGTGCCGGCTCCAAGCCAACCTCGCTCCCCTCAGCTGGAGCTCACCCCAAAACCTCCTCTGTGGCCTCTGCTGATCCTTCAGGATCTCCAAGAAAACACAGGAAAAAGGGATAACCTCCAAAAAGAGGTGTCTGGTAGGCACAGACATCTCTTCAGAAAGATTAATTTTTTTTTTTTCAGTTGTCCCAGCTCCAAGCCAACCTCGCTCCCCTGAGCCGGAGCTCCGAGCGGGGCGGCGGAGCTGGAGCTGTCACTGGAGCCATCACTGGCAGTGCAGCAGCTCCTCCCAACGAATGGGCTGTGAAAACACCTCCCGCTCCAGCCAGAGCTCGTAGGAGTAGTGGAAATCCTCGGGGAGCTCCAG